TCTTGTGACATAATCTAAATTTGTTTTTGGTTATTAATTAATATACAATTCTTGGAATCAATTGTTTAGCTAAACTACTCAATTTTATCAAAAAAGTTAAACATTTAAGCATAAAAAAAGCCTCAAAAAGAGGCTTAATTATATTATTAAAACGGAACATCGCTATCGTCATCGTCATCATTTAAGTTACTTCCAAACGCTTCATTAGGCGATGGTAAATTTTTAGTTACAAACGGATTATCTTCATGATTCATTTTTGATGGTAAATCATCATAACTACCAGAGAAATCATCAAGGTTATCAAACTTACCAAGGTGTCCAATAAATTTTAATCGAATGTTTTCGATACCACCATTACGGTGCTTCGCGATCATGATTTCTGCCTGACCTGTAGTTGGCGATGCTTCATCATCATCCCATTCTTCAATTTTGTAATATTCAGGACGGTATAAAAACGAAACAATATCAGCATCCTGCTCAATTGCCCCAGATTCACGAAGATCCGATAGCAACGGACGTTTACTGGAACCACGCGTCTCTACCGCACGCGATAACTGAGATAGTGCAATTACCGGAACGTTTAGCTCTTTTGCCAGGGCTTTTAAGTTTCGGGAAATTGTAGAAATCTCCTGCTCACGATTTCCTCCTCCTTTATTATTTCCTCCGGCAGTCATCAACTGCAAATAATCAATGATTATAATCTTGATACCATGCTGTGAAACCAAACGACGACATTTTGCTCTTAAATCGAAAATAGAAAGTGACGGCGTATCATCAATAAATAAAGGGGCTTTTTCTAAGTTTTTTACTTTGGTACTCAACATTTCCCATTCGTGGGGTTCTAGTTTACCGGTACGTAATTTCTCTGATGACAATCCTGTCTCTGAGGAAATTAACCTCGTGATCAACTGAACCGAAGCCATCTCAAGAGAGAACAAAGCTACACCATGCCCGTACTGAATAGCAATATTTCTTGCCATCGACAGTACAAAGGCCGTTTTTCCCATCGCAGGTCTCGCCGCGATAATAATTAAATCACTGGGCTGCCATCCTGAAGTCAGTTTATCAAGATTATGAAAACCAGTTTCAACACCACTTAAACCTTCTTGTTTTGCAATTTCTTCAATCTTCTTTTTAGCCTGAAGGACTAAACTCTGAGCAGTTTCAGAACTACGCTTGATATTTCCTTGTGTTACTTCATATAATTTTGATTCGGCCTGATCAAGCAAATCAAATACATCGGCAGTTTCATCATAAGATGCTTCGATAATTTCAGTCGAAATACGAATCAAACTTCTTTGAATAAATTTTTGAAGAATAATACGTGAGTGAAATTCGATATGCGCCGAAGAGGCAATTTTTTGCGTAAGCTGAATTAAATAAAAATCTCCACCAGCCAATTCTAATTTTCCATTTTTCTTCAACTGAGTCGAAACCGTCAACAAATCGATTGGCTGTGTTTCTGTAAAAAGCTGAACGATTGCTTCAAAAATATATTTGTGCGCCTCTTTGTAAAAAGCATCTCCTTGCAAAATATCAATTACATCATCAACTCCTTTTTTATCAATCATCATCGCCCCAAGCACAGCTTCTTCTAAATCAAGAACTTGCGGAGGGAGTTTCCCTTTTTCTAAACTAATAACTGAGGGTTTATTTACCTTTGCAGGGTTTGCATTTTTGAAATTTTCCATATAGCGAAAGTAGCAAAATTTAAAAAAAAATTGCTATCGAGTTATAACTATTAATTGTTTATAAATAAGATGATTTTGTTCATAACCAAAAAAAAATCCGAAACTGTAAGGCTTCGGATTTTAAATCGTTTTACATGAATTTACTCTTTATACTCGCCCATATTACTGTATTTGTCCATTCTTTGGGCAATTAAGTCGGCTGTTGATAAGTCTTTTAATTCATTATATCCTTTAGTGATGTATTCTGCTACTGTTTTGAAAGTAGTTTCGCGATCGTAATGCGCTCCACCCAGCGGTTCTGGTATTACATCATCAACTAATTTTTGTTTTTTCATGTCAGATGAAGTCAATTTTAAAGCATCTGCAGCACGTTCTTTGTACTCCCAGCTTTTCCATAAAATAGACGAACATGATTCTGGCGAAATTACCGAGTACCATGTGTTTTCTAACATGTATACTTTATCACCAACACCTATTCCTAAAGCTCCTCCAGAAGCACCTTCACCAACGATAATGGTGATAATTGGCACTTGTAAACGAACCATTTCGAAAATGTTTCTGGCAATAGCTTCTCCTTGTCCTCTTTCTTCGGCTTCAAGACCTGGATATGCACCAGGAGTATCTACTAAAGTTAAAACCGGAATTCCGAATTTCTCTGCCATTTTCATCAAACGCAAAGCTTTACGGTATCCTTCAGGATTTGCCATACCAAAATTACGGTACTGACGTGTTTTTGTATTAAAACCTTTTTGCTGACCCACGATCATAAACGACTGACCGTTTATTTTTCCTAGTCCGCCCACCATCGCTTTATCATCTTTAAAATTTCTGTCTCCGTGAAGTTCTAAAAATGTATCTCCGCAAATTGCTCTGATATAGTCTAAAGTGTAAGGTCTGTTAGGATGCCTTGATAGCTGAACTCGTTGCCAAGCCGTAAGGTTTTTGTATATTTCTTTCTTAGTTTGTTCTAATTTTTTGTTGATTTCCTTGCAGGTTGGTGTTACATCAACATCAGATTCTTTTCCAATTATAACACACTTTTCTAACTGTTCTTCAAGTTCTTTTATTGGAAGCTCAAAATCTAAATATTCCATGGATTTTTGAATTTTGTTTTTAAATCGAACCGCAAATATAAAAATATTATATCATTGGTGTGATTAAATCGTATTTAAAATGTAAAAATGTAATTTAAAAATAAGGAAATTATTACACTTCCTTCTTATTTTTATAATGTTTAAAAACGCCATTTAAGATAACCGTAATTACAATTATCAGCGCGCCAATATAAAATTCTGCACTCATTTTTTCTTTTCCGCCCAAAATAAAATACGCCAGAATAATTCCGTAAACAGGCTCTAAGTTAGTCGTTAACATTACCGTATAAGGCGTTAATTTCTGCATCACTTTTACAGATGCCGTAAAGGCATACGCAGTACAAACCGATGCTAAAACCAATAGCAGAATCCAGTTATTTAATGACATGGTAAAGAAATCTGCATTGAATTTTCCTTGTATCAAAAAATAAATCGAAATAAAAAAAACTCCCGCTCCAAACTCATAAAACGTGATTACCGAAGGTTCATGGTCAGAAATTAACTTACCATTCATTAAGGTAAATAAAACCCCTAAAATAATCGAGGCCAAAGCGTAATACATTCCTTCCAGGTATTTTACTTCTACCCGCATGATTAATGCTAAACCTGCTATAATAATTAACCCGAAGAAAACTTCATAAAATAAAATTTTTCTTCCATAAAAAAGCGGTTCAAGCAAGGAGGCAAAAAAAGCACCTAACGAAAATATCGAAAGTGTGATGGAAACATTCGAAACATGAATCGCCTTGAAAAAGAAAATCCAGTGCATTGCAATTAGCAATCCAACAAAAATCAATTTAGCAAAAGATGTAGCCGAAATCACGAAAGATTGTTTCTTATATACAATAAAACCAGCCAGAAAAATCCCGGCAAGAAGCATTCTAAACCATACTAAATTTTCAGCATCAATCGTGATCAAAGCGCCAAGAACAGCCGTGAAACCCCAGATAAAAACAATTAAATGAAGATTTAAATAACTTTTTAAATTATCGTTTCGCATTACGTAATAGGTATACTGCCAGAATTCCGAAAACCATATTCGGGAACCAGACAGCAAATAAAGGTGAGAAAGTAGATTTTTCGGCAAGAGTACCGAATATTTTATCAAAAAATACGAATGAAAATGCAATTGCAATACCTATGGCAAGATTCGTTCCCATACCACCACGGCGTTTCATAGAAGAAACCGCTACGGCAATAATGGTTAGGATAAAAGCAGAAACCGGTACGCTGTATTTTTTGTAAAGTACTACCAGATAAGTGTTGATATTTCCTGAACCTCTTTTGCGTTCCTTCTCGATAAAATCAATCAGCTTACCTAGCGGAAGCGTCTCTGCAATATAAACTACCGGAGTTAAATCAGCCAGTTCAAATTTGAAAGCCACATTCTTCTCAGGTACTTTTTCTATTTTATCATTAAGTTCACCAAGAGTTCTTTTGGTATAATCATACAGAATGTAGATTTTCTTTTTAGGATCCCATTTAATACGACTTGCAGTAATTTTATACGTTAACTGCTCTTTTTCGAAATGTTCCAATGTAAAATTAAAAGCCGTTTTAGACTCCTCATTAAAACTATTTACAAAAATAAAATCGTTGTCATTAATCTGTCTGTATACGTTGGTATTTTCCCCCCGCATCAGCTGTTTTCCGTTTCCTTTTAGATACGTATACCTAAAATTATTAAAACCTTCACTGGCAGCCGGAACGATGAAAAACCCCATTAAAAGCACAAAAACCGAAACGATCGAAGCGCCAATAATATAAGGTCGTAAAAAACGGGTAAACGAAATTCCCGAACTTAAAATCGCAATAATTTCAGTATTATTGGCCAATTTCGAGGTAAACCAAATCACCGATAAAAACAAAAATATCGGAAACAAGGAGTTCGCAAAATAAATCGTAAAATTGTAATAATAGACCGCGATTGCTGTAAACGGAATCTTGTTCTCCAGCATTTTATTCACCTTTTCAGAGACGTCAATCACAATCCCAATCGGAATAAATAATAAGATCATCACCGAGAAAGTGGCTAAATATCTTTTTAAAATATACTTATCTATTATCGTCAGCATATATTGTTTTGTTTGTTTTGTTTCAGGTTTCAGGTTCTACTCAGAACTTGAAACGTAAAACCTGAAACTTGAAGCTTTTTTTAAAGTCTTTGACTCATGTTTTTAACCATCATTTCTTTCCATGGTCTAAAATCTCCTGCTAAGATATGTTTTCTGGCTTCACGAACCAACCACATATAGAAACCAAGATTATGAATCGTAGCAATTTGTTTTCCTAAATATTCGTTGGCTGCAAATAAGTGACGTAAATATGCTTTTGTATATTCAGTATCTACAAAAGTATGCCCCATCTCGTCGATTGGTGAAAAATCAGCTTCCCACTTTTTGTTTTTAATATTGATTGTTCCGTTTGCCGTAAACAACATACCGTTTCTGGCATTACGAGTTGGCATAACACAATCGAACATATCAATACCTAACGCAATATTTTCTAAAATATTAATTGGAGTTCCTACTCCCATTAAATAACGAGGTTTATCTTCCGGTAAAATTTCGCAAACCACTTCGGTCATGGCGTACATTTCCTCAGCAGGTTCCCCTACTGATAAACCACCAATAGCATTTCCTTGTTGTCCTGCATTGGCAATATATTCAGCCGATTGCTGACGTAAATCTTTATAAGTACTTCCCTGAACAATAGGGAAAAAAGTTTGCTCGTATCCGTATTTGTAAGGCACTTTATCTAAATGGTTGATACAACGATCCAACCAACGGTGTGTCATATGCATAGAGCGCTGCGCGTATCTGTAATCGCAAGGATAAGGCGTACATTCATCAAAAGCCATAATAATATCAGCCCCAATCGTACGCTGAATTTCCATTACACTTTCAGGTGAAAAAAAGTGGTATGAACCATCAATATGCGATTTAAACTTTACTCCTTCTTCCTTAATTTTCCTGTTATTCGAAAGAGAATACACCTGATATCCACCAGAATCCGTCAAAATATTACGATCCCAATTCATAAATTTGTGCAATCCTCCCGCTTTTTCAAGAATTTCTGTCTGCGGACGTAAATATAAATGGTATGTGTTTCCCAGGATAATATCCGGATTAATATCTTCTTTTAGCTCACGCTGGTGTACCCCTTTTACAGATGCAACCGTTCCAACAGGCATAAAAATAGGCGTTTCGATTACGCCGTGATCTGTAGTAATGCTTCCCGCTCTCGCTTTAGATTGCGGATCTTTTTTCAATAAATCAAACTTCATCTGTTTCTTTTTTCAGTCGGCAAAGATAGGCTAATTTCAGGAAAATTTAATCAATTAGATAATTTGTCAATTAGAAAATGAGATAATGATTTTCATCAACCTAAAACTTTGGTTTTTTGAGTTTGGATTTAGAATTTTAGAATTTATTTTCCCTATAGCATTTCCGCCGCGGCGGATCGGGCTATCCGCTACAAGTCCTCGCACTTCCTTCGTCAGGCTGTGGGCTTTTCACTTCTATCCCTAACGCAAAAAAAAGACGTGACAGTTTCATCAGAAATTTTTAAATTTGAATACAATCAAAAAAAAATCTGCAAAATCTGCTTGCAAAAAACAAAAAGAAAAAAAATGAACTTAGCCCAAAAACTAGGATATCCTCAAGACACAAAACTCTTAATCATTCATGCCGACGATGCCGGATTATCACATTCAGAAAATCAGGCCACTATAAAAGCACTCCAAAACGGATCCATAAACTCTTATAGTATAATGGTCCCTTGCCCATGGTTTTATGAAATGGCAACATTTGCCAAAAACAATCCCAATTACGATTGTGGCATTCATTTAACACTAACTTGCGAATGGGAAAATTATAAATTCGGACCAATTCTTCCAGTGGCAGAAGTTTCGAGTTTAACAGATCAAAACGGATATTTTTATAAAACCCGAAAAGATTTCAAAAACAATGCAAAGCCCGAAGAAATCAAAAAAGAACTTACAGCTCAAATCGAGAGAGCATTACAATTCGGTATACAGCCTACCCATCTCGATTCGCATATGTGCAGCGTGGGAGTAATTCCGCAAATTTTAGAAATCTATAAAGAACTCGGAAAAACCTATGGTTTACCCGTTTTCATTAACAAAGAATTTGTAGAATCTATTAGTTTATCCGATGAAAAATATAATTATGAAAATACCCTGGTCTCCGACAATCTTTTAATAGGCTATTTTAATGATTTCGAAAAAGGAGAACTCAAATCTTCTTATGCAAAAGCTTTAGATAATGTTGAGCCTGGCTTCAATGTCTTTTTGCTTCATCCCGCTTTTGATGATCGCGAAATGCAAGGCATTACAATAAATCATCCAAATTTTGGATCAGCCTGGCGTCAAATTGACTTTGATTTTTTTACCAGCCAAGAATGCAAATCAAAATTAAAAGAAAACAACATTCAATTAATTACCTGGAGAGATATTCGCGGAATGAGATAAT